TGACACCAATGACTGCCTTGCTACCAACAGGCAAAACTCACTACTGGCACCATTGCTGTTCTAATTTGTTTTAGTTTGGTTTTAATTTGTATTTAACATTTATTGCTCTTCAACTAGCCTAGCAAAAACTAGGTACCTCTGTAAGGCACACAAGCATACGATATCTCCACAGCTTAAAGGGCCACCATAACGGCAAAGACCCATGCACCAACACAATGGATAACACGCTACATAGCAAAACATTCCCACGATAGGGCCAGCAACAGGGCCGCTAGCGTGTTCTTCCCACCCCCCCTGCAGCCTCCTTGGTTAGGGGCTACTGACCACACGAGCATCAACGAAGCACATAGGGCAACCTAGGGACAGAGATACCTACACCCACATCAAACATGATAGGACATTGGGCCCTAGACATTGCCACAATGACAAGAAGTGTGGCAACTTTCATTATCGCCACAGCCAACACCATGTACCACTTACACGGGACGAGGAATGGTTGCTCAGAACCCAAGTCATACTAGGCCAGGGGTTCTCAACGTTAGTCCTCAGGACCCCCTACCAGTCCAGGGTTTAGGGATTACCTGGGTGTGTCTAAGGTGTTTAGAAAAAGAAAAAAAAAACACCTTAGAGTCCAAGGTGTTTTTTTCCCTTTTTTTAAACACCTGAGACACACCCAGGTAATCCCCAAATCCTGGACTGGTAGGGGGTCCTGAGGACTGAGTTGAGAACCCCTGTACTAGGCGTAAAGAGCATATTGAACACATACAACTACTTCCTCTAGACAGGAGAATGTGGCGATCTAGCGAGAGCTTCAGGCAGAATGTTGTAACGTATGAACCTAACCCAAAAAATGTGCACCGTATCCTAATGCCAAATGTTTATTTATGTTTTATGTATTGAAGCCTGAGAAAACTGTTGTGGCATCTCAAGCGACTATGTTAAGCAAATGCACAACAAAAATAAAGAATTAAAAAAACAAACAAAAAAAAACTGGATTCGACCATGACAGTGCTGCGTTAAGTACAATGTAGTCACAGCAACATCCATTCGTTTTTTTATTTTTTTATTTAAAGGTCAAGGTTGGTTATTGAAAAAAAAAAACCCTCTAAATTACAACACATATAAAAGAGTTGAACTACTATGAAATAAATTAAATTGTGCTAACAATGTGATGATTAGTAAATAATCTCTACAGTGTCTGGGGCAGGGATGCCCAAAAGGAAGATCTCCAGATATTTTAAAACTACAACTTCCCTGATGCTTCGAATGCTGTTGGAATGCCTTTAGAATTGCAAAGCATCATGGAAGATGTAGTTTTAAAATATCTGGAGATCTGCATTTTGGGCACCCATGGTTTATAGAGTCAATTCGGCAACAAGTGTGTGAAAGTTAATTTTTACTGTGGACTTATCTAACATTTCACATTAATGATTCTTTTAATTTGATTTGTTCAGTTTGATGAGAAAATAATGTAGCACACCAAGTCATGAATTTGCAGGTACTCATCAACAATCATTTAAATTTTTATGTGTTTTCTTTTTTAATTAACACAATAAAAGTCATTAGCACAATCTGCAAATTACTGATGTAAATTCGGAATGTGCAGTTTTGAGAAATCCCAATCTAATAATTTTATAACCTGGACAAATAAATATTTTTCTATACTAATTAGAAGCTGCAAAGCCAACAAAAACAAAGTATAAAAACAAAGTGAAATGTAGCAGAACTTCAACAAAAAGGTCAATAATAATAGCAAACAGTAAATGCAACAATAGTAATTAGTAATAAAAATGATGAAAGATCCCTATAAAAGAGCAAGATACTCACACTCCTTGTTCCAGAACGCAAGTTACATGGTCTCCAATCCTCCTTTCAGTTTACATTTACCACTACTCATGAAAAATATCTGGGGGGTCAAGATCACTCGGCAACTACAAGATCTCTTCTCCCATAATATACTACTCTATTAAATACACTAACCAGATGTAGCTAAATGGAACAAACCTCAATTCTATTAAGATATTGAGGCTCATATTATGCTGCACTCTTTCTTTATTTCCCTCAGCAGCAAAGAAAAACTTTAACAATGAAATGAACACAGGAAACAGTCAGTAACATATCTTCCATGGCAACCATAAGCCAATCAGGTTCCACTCTCCAGCATAATAGGCATAATATTCCCTGAACTATTTCCTCTTTCTTTGCTGCTCCCTCAGTTAAGTACACTGATCCCATAGTTCTTAACTGTGGGATTATCTTACATACTTATATACGAACTCGGTTTACAAATGCCTCGGTTAACATAATTTTCGGTTTACAAATGAAAATCCATCGAAAATAATGCCTCAGTTTACAAATTTTTTTCACAATACAAAGCAAGTTTCCCCTGGATGCATTGCATCTTGCAGGTTTATAGCACTGCCCCCTGCATGCAGGAACCTGTGGGTGGCACGTGGTGTCGAGTGTGGAGGTGTTGGAGCGGCTTTTGCATCAAGTTTTGAAGCCATTCTGGAAATTGTTTGCAGTTGTTTTGGGACTTTTTGGTGCATTTCTCAAGATGTGGAAAGGTAGGGAGCTGAGCTTGCCTTTTATTGTGTGTTCTGCATTGTGGGTTGGTTTCCATGCCAGCTCATTTTGACTTTTTTCTGACTTCCAGAATGGATTAATTGGTTTTCAATGCATTCCTAAGGAAACCGCGTTTCGGTTTACACATTTTTCGCAATAAGAGGTCCCACTGGATTTGTACCTATAATTTAATTAATTTTTTTATTTAATTAATTTTTTTGTTGATGGGAATTTAGATTTGATGTTTACTGTTGAAATTCCATTTTTTTCTGTTAGAGGAAAAGATAAGAACAAGCTTGAGTTTCCTTTGTTTAATGTATTAACTACATGGACAAAGTTTTATTGAGTATTTGAACCGCACGGAAGGGGAGAATGGAACGCAATCCAGATATTGATGAAAAGACATGAAGAATCTTGAACAAAGATTGAAAAATAAATTTAAAAAAAAAAAAACACCTGCGGGAAGACAAAAAGGTACAAACTGATTCGCGGAGGGGATGGCAACTCCCCCGAACACAGCGGAGAAAATCAGGAACACACCGCATTTAAGGAAGGGTTTTAAGGGATGGGTAGATTTGATTTATGGTTACTGAGATTATTTTACTATTGTAACTGTATGGAGAGTGGTCCCCAAGGAACCACTATGGAAACGAAACGTGTACCACCGGTGCTCTACTACTGTCTTTTACAATTTTTATTGGCTCCTTTATGTAATAAACCAATTTTTGTACCTACCTATCCGATTCCTGATTTTTTTTTGATATGGAGAGCAGCAAGCAGTCAGAGAATCTAGACTTCCCTTGAAAGGGAAGGCGACCTTAAGGCACTTTTATCATTTGGGGTCTGTGAGTTCTACTATTAGTGGGGGCACTGCTAACACTATTATATAGTGTAACACTATTATTTGTTATCTTTCATTTTAGATATCCAGTAGTATCCTATTGTTCTGTATATAATCCTTATCGCCTACTGAAGTAGTTATGGAACAGGAGTATCTAGACATCATCTTACCTTCAGTAGTTAATAAATATCCTGTGTGCATGTCAATGCCCAGGTGAAAAGAATCCAACTAAGCTTAGATTATTTATTTTCGTTACTAATAAATTGGCTGACAGGTTTGGTTGTGGGAGTTGAAGTCTTTACTACTGAGTGTGTACTGTCGCAATATCTTTTCTTGTCTACATTACATTTTTTTTTTATCCTCTGTACTATAAGTATTTTTCTCTCTATTTATGATAATCTTATCTTAATTATGATTTGATTGGCAAGTGTTTGCTTTCATTTTCATCAAATGAACAGCAGTAGCTATTTTATTCTTCATAAATTAATAAGAATGGTCACTTGGCAGAACCCATCACATTCTGAAGCCCAAAAGCCTTTCTTTCACCACCACAAGATATATCATGGTTCTGCTTTATAAACAAAGAGAGGAGAAATATAGATACATCACATAGAAAAATTATTGCAGTCTGTCTACACATCATTTGTATCCTCCGTGTGGTGCGGTTTAATAAGCAGGATGGCGATGTCTGCTTCCAAAGCTAGAAACTTCAGGTCCATAGTTACGGCTCAAAGTTCTGCCTTTGAGCTATGAAATTAATAAGAGGAATAGAAAATGTACAATGCAAGGCTAGAAGATTTGATCTTGTATATTTGAGAAAAATTGGATACAATAACATTATACATACACACAGATAATAATGAATGTGACAAACAATTTTTTTGTCAATTGTTATCCAAAAAGGAGCTCATATATGGTGTGTATGTAAATAGCTGCTGTAAACACTCAACAACACACAAGCAAAATACAACACAAACTTTAATTTAATGTTTAAATGATCTGCCCCACCAAATAAAACAAAACAAAGTGTGAGTGCAGTGTTGAAAAAACAAACCAAATTGTGAGAGTGTGTGTTTATATACAAGCAAACAACCCCCCCTTCCCCCCCAAAAAAACAAAAAACTAGATATAGTATATTTAATACAACCACCTCTTAATTGTATATTTTGGTAGAAGCCTATTGTAACTGGCTCTAAGATTGCAGACCTTGTGTTAATTTGTAGGCTGACACTACCCTCTGGAAAAAGATGAATTTGTGAGATGGAGTAAATAAGATATTTAACTAATAAAACACTTTATAGCTTGTAGTGCCTTCCTCCTACTGCCAAGACGCGTTTCTCTTTTTTTTTTAGCTCTGCACTCACAATTTGCTTTATTTGGTGGGCCACATCATCTAAACATTAAAGTTAAAGTTATTTATGCATTTTGTATATTATATATATAAATAAAGGAATCCAGATAGCACGCTCAGGACTGTTGAAACAAATAAAACGTAGCTTTTAATGAGCTTATAAAAAAAGAATCAACGTTTCAGTCTGTTAAACACAGACTTTCATCAGGACTAACAAATACAGTACAGTGACTCACATATATACCCAAATACATATTAACAATCAATTTACCCACCACCGGAATAATTGCCTCTCGCTGTCAGCCCGATCCGAATTTTTTTCAATTACTCAGTTTGTAACTGGGTCCTTTTCCTCAAGGGTTATACAATTTATAGTAAATATATCCTTCCGGGGTTGAAGCCTAGTGGGGGCTCCTATATGAGCTATCCTTTCTTCACTGGATAGTATTGTCAACTATATGCTGTATAAATGCATCTATTATGATTGAATTAGATATATGTGAATTTGTTCTGATTCCTAGCCTTTGTGTTTTGTTTTAGATATAGGTTGCTATGGAGATTCTCTACATAGGAACAACCTCCCTATGATGCTGCCGATCGGCTGCTCGCGTGATGAGGTAATGACGCCGGCTCTGCGTAATAACGTCATGGACGCACGCACTGAAGTTGGCCGAACCGGCGCGAGATCCGGACCGGGCTGACAGGGAGATGCAATTATTCCGGTGGTGGGTAAGTTGATTGTTATCTAACAAAATTATAAAACACAACTTTTGTTTTTGCCCCCATTTTTCATGAGCTGAACTCAAAGATCTAATACTTTTTCTATGTACACAAAAGGCCTGTTTCACTCAAATATTATTTACCAATCTGTCTAAATCTGTGTTAGTGAGCACTTATCCTTTGCGGAGATAATCCATCCACCTCATGGGTGTGGTATATCAAGATGCTGATTAGATAGCATGATTATGGCACAGGTGTGCCTTAGGCTGGCCACAATAAAAGGCCACTCTTGTGATTGCTCCCAGACGCTCTTATTGTGTTAGACGATGCCTCGATATCAAGGCATCGTGTAATACCCCCCTACACTGCTGGGGATCTAAGTGATCGCTTTAGGAGCTGCCAGCAAGGGAACTGTCTGAACGGTCAGGCAGTCCCCCAGGCTGCTAAAAAAAAATAATAAAAATAAATATATTATACATATACAGGTGTTTCTCATTTAGCGACCTACCTGTTTTACCACGACTCGCACTTCCGACCGAGCTTAAGTGCGAGCCGTCATGGGGATTCCCTGATCTGGTGCGCATGTCTATGTTCGTGGAAGTTTCCCCGAACATAGAGGAATGCACCAGAGCAGGGAATCCCTTAACTCCTCAGTTACCGACCGATTTGTTCTACGACCAGGTCATAGGAACTGAACCCGGACAGTGAGGAGTGTCTGTATTATATATTATAAAATAATTAAATCATTTTATAATATGTTCTACATATATAATGCATCTATATGATTTCATTATAAGTGTACACTATATATATATATAGTATATATATATATATAAAAATCAAACACACACACATACACACACATCTCAAAATACACTTATGATGAAATCATATATATATGTATAATATATTATAGATATATAGGCAATAAGTATGTGTGTAGAACAGAAGAAAGGGATCAGCGCTCTCTATCTATACAAAATACAACAGAAACAATAATAAATAAGTAAAAAGTGGCAGCACACCTAAAGAGTAGGGCTCCCTCACAGGCCTTACAACAGAAATGGTACAGAAAAAAGAAAGGAAGGCAGCGCCACTATAAACCACATAAATAAAAGAGCACAGAATAGGCAGACTAGAATACAATATATATGATAGATACTAAGCAAATAGAAGTCCAGAATAAATAGTCTGACTGGTAGATGAATCAAACAACGAGGTATATCTTTGTAGAGGTGAATACAGTCTTTTGTAGTGGGGCACAGAAGTGTTTTTACTTTCCAGTGAGGATATTACTCCCAAGAATCCTAGGTGGGGATTATACCACTCAAGCTGTATTCATTGAACAGTCAGTCTGTTCAACTAAATGTGAGTAACCACTTGGTTTTTTATCTTCTCACCTCTGGCATTTTATACTTTGAGCACCATTGTTGTTCCTGCTTTTATTTCCACATATGGTCCCCTAATCAAGAAAGAATACTAAGACCTCACGTATCCCATAAGTGGGGATTATACCACTGTACGTTATCAACACTAGAGCTAAGTCCATAGCTCTTGAAAACGTGAGTAGGACCATATACTCTTTTATTGCTTCTACCCCTTTCGGGACATACTATACCATCAGTTGTTATTTTCTCATTTCATATGATGTACAAAGACGCATCTACACCACTCTGAAGAATCCCCCACTACAAAAGACTGTATTCACCTCTACAAAGATATACCTCGTTGTTTGATTCATCTACCAGTCAGACTATTTATTCTGGACTTCTATTTGCTTAGTATCTATCATATATATTGTATTCTAGTCTGCCTATTCTGTGCTCTTTTATTTATGTGGTTTATAGTGGCACTGCCTTCCTTTCTTTTTTCAATAAGTATGTGTGTGTGTGTGTGTGTATAATATATATATATATATATATATATATATATATATATATATAATGCAAAAAACGAGAGCACTCACTGGATTTGATACATAAATGCTTGTATTAAATGAACATACCAATCGACGTTTCGACCGTCTCGCGGTCTTTATCAAGACCGCGAGACGGTCGAAACGTCGATTGGCATGTTCATTTAATACAAGCATTTATGTATCAAATCCAGTGAGTGCTCTCGTTTTTTGCATTTTATATATTCTTTTGGAGAAGCAACTTGGTGTTTACAATTGATTAACACTTTGTGGGTAGAGTGCCAGATTTTGGATGTTTATATATATATATATATATATATATATATATATATATATATATATACACACACACACATATATATACATACATACACATACGCGCATTATGTATTTATAAAAAAATAAATAAATCCGCTGACTTTGGCCAGCGTTTGTGACTAAGTGGCTACTACAAAAGACTGGACACAACCAATTTTGAATAGCCTGGGTTGTCTTCTTTTACAAATGGTATGCCATGATGGGGTTAATTTTCATTCCTAGGCTGCTATATGGTCTCAAAGGCAACACAGGCCCAGCAAACCAATCTGGCAAATTTCAATGTGCAAACATGGAAAAGGGGCAAGCCCTACATTTGACCCCTGTAAGTTTGCAAAAGCCCATAAAACCTGTACATTGGGGGCACTGTTGTACTCGGGAGATGTTGCTGAACACATATTGGGGGTTTCTTCGTCAGTAACACAAAACAGGAACTGAGAATCCATACCTGAAATACAATGTGAGAAAAAAATAACACAAAGAGCCTTGGTCCTTAACGGTAAGAAAATTGGAAAACGGTCTGGTCACTAAGGGGTTAAACAATAGCTGGATACTAATTTCTGAAAAATAGAATATTTAAAGATATATTAGTGAATGTATATTATAATAGTTTGTTGATCTGCTATTGGAGAAACAGCAATAGTAGATGTGTGAATGATTGTGGCTGACCATGACTTTCAGCCAATATTACAGTCTAACTATGAAAGCAGAGAAAATATTTTGTTTTATGTTTGCATTAGCCAGACTTTATCCAGCTTTCTGCAAAAAGTACTCACAAATAAAGTAACATAAAATATATATATATAATTTTTATTAAATCAGGATTAAAAATGTAACGTTTTAAAAGTAGATTTATAAACATATTATATTTTTGACACACAACCAGATAACAAGAAAGTTTAGTTTCTCAAAAGTGCTTGAAAAGATACCATGGATACCAGTTTAAAACAGCATACACTAATTCTGCAAGCAAAATGCAGCTCTCCCCACAGAGAAATAAATCAACAAAGAGTAAAACATTTACTAATATGCTAAAAATTAAAAGCACCAAAATAGAGAAGAAAAAAAAAATACAAAATACAATAAAAACAAGTTAAAAACATTTAAAAGTATGAAATTTTACATTAAATATTTGTATTCTTCCTGGAGTGTTCCCATATTTAACGAGTCCAGTACCCATGACTGTGACACAATTTTAAACTTTCTTTCAAAAGTTCTTCTTGTGATTTTAATTTCTCCCAGGCGAGTTAAATCATCACCAACTAATACATGTGACAGTCCTTCATTAAGATGGTTTTTGACTTTTGCTCCATGGAAGCGTAGCTGTAGTGCTCTTATTGCTAAACTGGATGAGTCTATTTTGGTGTTTGGATCATTAACTATGGCAAAATAATCTACATATATGACACAGTGTCGAAATATATTCGAAGAGTTGTCCCATGAGTATCGATGTTCTAAATCAGCAATCATGTCCAGGGGTACTTTCTCTTCAATATAAGACATCCTGTTAAAAACATCCTTCAGTTCTTCCTCATTAGTGTCCATAATGTAGCTGTCGCCGTAAGAGTCATACTCACATGCAAAGTGTTCTTTGGTAGATGGGCACATATGTATCATATGGTGAGGCTGCCAGGGTACAAATGTTTTCTTACTAAAGCACTCTATTAGCCATGTTGCTCTAACAACATCATGTTTATCTGAAGAAATAATATTTTTTACTCTTACATTGATAGTTCCTGCAATAACACAATATGTATCCTGACCTGGATTTTGAACCACAATACCCCCACATGAAGCAATTTTGGTTTCTAGATCACTTTTTGAATGTTCATCTGTTCCACTCATCACACAAAATTCTACATCTTCAAACATTGTGGATTGTTTATGAACGGTAGTAAGATCAGGTGCTTTTAGATGTGAAACAATACCAATTACTTTTTTGATCTTGGTTGCAGTTTTCCTCTTCTTACTCTGAGGCTCGTCATCAATATTCAGGTGTTTTGAAGCCAATTTCCCAGAGGCCTTTTCCCTGAATTGCTCTAAGTCATCAAGAGTCATGCAATCAAACCACTCTTTGTCATCTCTTATTTTTTCAATGCGTGGAAAACGAAGAGTGCAACTTGTTTTGTACATATCACTCGCCACAATCTCTGCTGCTTTTATTTGTACAATGACAGAGTTACACGGTTGTATGTACACTTCAGGTTTTTCATTTCCACAAAGGATATTAACAGGGGGGTCTCTTTTTCGATATGGCTTCCAGTGTGGAGCAAGCTTTAAACCAAGGTCATACAACTCTTTCATTGTATAACCAGAGCCAACACGACAGAGTGAGTGAAAAACTGATGGCTTTTCACCTGGTTGTGGGGTTTCTGCAACAGCACATAGGAAATGAGACATCATACCACCACGTAATCCCTTTCCCCAATAACCTCCAATGATTAGGAGGTCCAGCTCATCCATTAAACCATTCACATACTCTGGCTTAATTTTTAACCATCCTTCTCCACGTTTATCTGGCTTGTATATAGACATGGGGTCTTTAATCATAATTCCTTCTTCCCGGTTATCAATTGCTTCATTAAGTGCATCTACCACATGCTTTTTTGTACTGGCTTCTTTCTTTTCAACAATATGAATTCTGCCCTTAACTGGGGTAAATATTTCATGGAGGGTATCATGTCGTTTTCTCAGTGGTTCATGTGCTAGTTTTTTATCATTAAACATTAAAACATCAAAAATGCAGAAGCATGTTTGCAGTTCAGAATCATCTACCATCTTCTTTATGTCAAATTTGCTTCCTTTTTGCATGAATGTTTGAGTATTTGGATTGTAAGCCATCATCTCCCCATCAAGTATGCAGTTTTGAACATCTAATCTAAATACATTATGAATAAATGGAGTCAAAGAACCTTCAAGAGGTGTTGCACCAAACTGTGGTGTGTAATCAAATCCATTCCGGGAGAAATATTTATATACATCTCCATCTTTATGCATTTGCATTCGCTCACCATCCAGCTTTGTCTCAATATAGAAACTCTGTTGGTTCATTTGCTTTTCTATCTGCTGTATATTTGCAATTGCAGCAAGCATTGGCTTAAAAGCAGAAAACAGTGAAATGGAAACATCACTAAGACAGACAGAAGGGTCATGTAGCTGATGGCATACTTTTTCAAGATCAGTGGTGACATTGTGGAGCTCCAAAGCATCCTTGTGGAAGACAGAGAATATTGTTTGCTGGCTCAAACCAAGTTTCATATCCTTTATAATCATTCTGATAAGCCATTTCTGTTCCAGGGAAGTGGTGTGAGCAATCAAATGAAGTAGGCTTCTTTCAATTTGTTCTTTCTTTTTTGCTGCATTATTGCTTGCAATCAGGTCTAAATGATCATTTACTTCCTTTATGGACAAATCACCATCCTTTGTACAACGGGATTTTAGTACAAAGTACGCAATTGCAGCAAAATCCCCAGCATCCCCATGTGAACCTGCAGGTGTTCTGTAATTTAAAAGTTTCAAAGCATCTTTACCATCCTTTGGCAATCCAAGTACTTTAATATATAGCTTAGCAAGCATTGTTTCTTTGATGCCATAAGCCATTCGTTCTCTCTCGAGTTGTGGAAGAATAAGTCTCATGGCTGGATAAAAAGAATCTGTAGTTTGTGGATTATTTTTATGAAGGGCACCATGAAATTTTCTCCATGAATCAACAAACTGTTTAAAAACTTTGCTTTTGTCAGCTCGGCTCTTGGATTTTTGAATTTTTTCCAAAGTAGAACAAAGATCAGCAAATGGTACTTCTGATGCTACTGTTTTTTTATCCCCAGAATGTGAAGGAATTGTTGAAGACATTAGGAATATTGTGTATACCTATAAAAAACAAAAGAGAAAAGACAAATGTACTGCTAGTTTAAACATGATCAAGATCAGAGATGACCATAAAATCATCAAAACCTTTGTAATTAGAACTAAAAGGAAAGCAATATAATAAAATTCACAAACATGGAGATATTTTCATTCTTTGAAAGAATACAATATTTTAAATTATTTTTTTTTAAATATGCTTTCTATTTTATTTATTTTCCATAAACAAGATTTATTTTCAATGAATTTAGTAGTTTGATGTATGTTATTTCCAGATGGCATCAAAATAAATATCCCCCATGTTACATGGTAATCAAAAATTACTATTGTGCTTCTGCATTGGGTTCCCATAAGATATAGGGCTCAATTTAAAATTCTGGTTCTTGCTTTAAAATCTTTACATAATGCTACTCCCCACCTTATTCTCCCCAATACACAAGTATGTCCCATCTAGGCCCCTATGCTCTGCTGAAGACCTACGTCTATCCTCTGTTCGTACTCCCACCTCTGATACTTGCCTTCAAGACTTCTCTAGGGCTGCACCATTCCTGTAAAACTCCCTTCCCATTTCCATTTGATGCTCACCCAGTCTCCACTCCTTCAAAAAAAATCAAGTAAACTTTTAATGGCTCCCAACTGATTCCTCTCCTGCAATGGTCATAAAAAAAAACCAAAACAAAAACAAAAACCCAAACAGCCCACAATGCGAATCTACCAATCTACTTCTCTACTCCTACTCTTACCTTTTGTGTCACTTTACCCCACTCCCTCTAGCATGTACGCTCATTGAGCAGGGCCCTAATAAACATTATTAAATCTAATAAAATTATAACTATGAAAGAATTATATATACACACACACACACCAAATAACAGAAGAACACAACAAACCTACACTTAAAAACAAATCTTTCATTAAAGCAATGTGGTTTTGAAAAGAATGGTCTGTCATGTTACATGACAATCATACCATTACCAGATTAAAAGCAGAGTTAAGTGCCTCAACGGCCCACCTAATATTACTTGATTAAGATGAAGTCGAACGGATGCAAGCTGACTGGTTACTTTAATTCTTAAGTGGGATATCAGTAAGCCATTGCCCATGTGTGGGGAGATTAATCTACAGGGAGTGCAGAATTATTAGGCAAGTTGTATTTTTGAGGATTAATTTTATTATTGAACAACAACCATGTTCTCAATGAACCCAAAAAACTCATTAATATCAAAGCTGAATATTTTTGGAAGTAGTTTTTAGTTTGTTTTTAGTTTTAGCTATGTTAGGGGGATATCTGTGTGTGCAGGTGACTATTACTGTACATAATTATTAGGCAACTTAACAAAAAACAAATATATACCCATTTCAATTATTTATTATTACCAGTGAAACCAATATAACATCTCAACATTCACAAATATACGTTTCTGACATTCAAAAACAAAACAAAAACAAATCAGTGACCAATATAGCCACCTTTCTTTGCAAGGACACTCAAAAGCCTGCCATCCATGGATTCTGTCAGTGTTTTAATCTGTTCACCATCAACATTGCGTGCAGCAGCAACCACAGCCTCCCAGACACTGTTCAGAGAGGTGTACTGTTTTCCCTCCTTATAAATCTCACATTTGATGATGGACCACAGGTTCTCAATGGGGTTCAGATCAGGTGAACAAGGAGGCCATGTCATTAGATTTTCTTCTTTGATACCCTTTCTTGCCAGCCACGCTGTGGAGTACTTGGACGCGTGTGATGGAGCATTGTCCTGCATGAAAATCATGTTTTTCTTGAAGGATGCAGACTTCTTCCTGTACCACTGCTTGAAGAAGGTGTCTTCCAGGAACTGGCAGTAGGACTGGGAGTTGAGCTTGACTCCATCCTCAACCCGAAAAGGCCCACAAGCTCATCTTTGATGATACCAGCCCAAACCAGTACTCCACCTCCACCTTGCTGGCGTCTGAGTCGGACTGGAGCTCTCTGCCCTTACCAATCCAGCCACGGGCCCATCCATCTGGCCCATCAAGACTCACTCTCATTTCATCAGTCCATAAAACCTTAGAAAAATCAGTCTTGAGATATTTCTTGGCCCAGTCTTGACATTTCAGCTTGTGTGTCTTGTTCAGTGGTGGTCATCTTTCAGCCTTTCTTACCTTGGCCATGTCTCTGAGTATTGCACACTTTGTGCTTTTGGGCACTCCAGTGATGTTGCAGCTCTGAAATATGGCCAAACTGGTGGCAAGTGGCATCGTGGCAGCTGCACGCTTGACTTTTCTCAGTTCATGGGCAGTTATTTTGCGCCTTGGTTTTTCCACACGCTTCTTGTGACCCTGTTGACTATTTTGAATGAAACACTTGATTGTTCGATGATCACGCTTCAGAAGCTTTGCAATTTTAAGAGTGCTGCATCCCTCTGCAAGATATCTCACTATTTTTGACTTTTCTGAGCCTGTCAAGTCCTTCTTTTGACACATTTTGCCAAAGGAAAGGAAGTTGCCTAATAATTATGCACACCTGATATAGGGTGTTGATGTCATTAGACCACACCCTTCTCATTACAGAGATGCACATCACCTAATATGCTTAATTGGTAGTAGGCTTTCGAGCCTATACAGCTTGGAGTAAGACAACATGCATAAAGAGGATGATGTGGTCAAAATACTCATTTGCCTAATAATTCTGCACTCCCTGTATAGAACACGTACAGCAATAATCTATGCTTATTGCTTTCTTCATATGGGATTTGTAAAATCATTTAAGTACACTAACACAATATATACCTGTTTAAAATATTTGCATATTGAACCTTTCTTACATGATAAATGATTTCAAAGTTTAAGTTATTTATAATAGTGAAAATAATAGAATATACAGTACAAAATTCGTATTTTTGTAAATCAACACAATGTGAAACATGTTTTATTTGATGAATTTTTAACTAGTGTCCTCATGGCACTTCTTTAAATAGTTTCTAAAAATGTTGCATTTACAATATACCTTAAAAAAAAAAAGTCAATATAGATTTCAGGCGTATCTGAATGCAAAATAGCCACACTATTCCCGAATGCAGTTGTGCTCTGCAAAAAGAAAAAAAACATACAGAAATTTTAATAGGAATTGCTGATGAGTGTTATAGTAGTTAATATTGCAGCTTGAGTAAGCAAAGAACGATTTAAAAAATAAAAATTGAAAAGTGTAAAAGTAAAACTAGCACAGACTTAGTAGACAATTTTTTTTTTTTTTAAGGAACACTATAGGCATCCAGACCACTTTAGCTCAGTGAAGTGGTCTGGGAGCAATGTCCCTTTTTGCACTTAGTGCTGCGATGTAAAACATTGCAGTACTAAGTCTACCTCCTGTGGCTGTCTCCCATATAGCTTCCTGGATTGAAATGGACCTTTGGTCCGGTATCTGATGCTGGAAGTCCTTAATGCTTTCCAATGGGGAGATCTTAATGCACACGCGGCTTTTGCCGCACATGCACATTAGTGCCTGCTCGTTGCGGGACGTCAGAGAGCGGATCATCGACCCAGCGCCGAGGGACATCAGTGCTGGGATCAGGTAAGTAAATAAAGGGCTTTTAACCCTTTATTCATGTTGGTGGGGGGTGAGGGCGCGAGGGAAGTGGGAGGCAAGGAAGTGATAGTGCAGTGTATTCCTGGCACTATATTATGCCTTTTAGTATATGTAAAGCCACTCTCCTTGCCAACATACCGGAATCCAGCACATCTCTTAAAATGGGGGCAGTGCCATAAACATAACACATCTTGCCATCTGCCTGGCCCCCTTGCTAGCAAGTTGCACTCACGGCTGCCCATTGCTGTAGTACTCTTGCATGGGATAAACGTCCTAGGGACAAGAATCTGTGAATGACATGCCTAAAGCACAACAGCTGAGAAGTATATGGGTGTAGAAACATACATTTTCAAATAATAATGGCTTCCTTACCAAACACTTTGAGTACTAGAACATGAATGTTGTCCTAAACCCAAATTATACGCAAAAGCGATTTGTAAATTGACATGCAGGTTGTTCGTTCTTTTTTTTTGTTTTTTGTATGCTGTGTTTCAAAGTAGCGTGAATAATCACATTGCTGTTGAAATCAGTTACACTTTGAAGTCATTTTAAAGAACTGTGATATTTACCATTACATCTTGCAAACTGGCGTAACTCAGATCAGACAGATCAATTTTCCTGGCATACATGTTAGCAATAAATGGCTTAAATGAACATTATAATCACCAGAACAACTACAGCTTAATGTAGTTGTTCTGGAATATATAGCATGCCCCTGTAGGCTTTTTAAGAGAAAAGGCAGTGTTTACATTATTGCCTTGTAACACCTCTAGTGGCAGTCATTCAGACAACTAGGTGCTTACTGTGTCAGTGCTGCTGTGTCACTGTTGTTCAGTTTGGAGACGCTGAACATTCCCCATAGAGATGCATTGGGACAGTGCAACGTTGTGCCGCGCATGTACAATAGCCTCCCAATGCTTTCCTATGGGAAAGCCTTAGATTGGCTGAGATCATCAAGACTGGTGGCAGGACCAGCCATGTCGAGAGCAGCAAGGTGATTGAGAAAAGAGACGTTTAAATGGACACTATAGTCACCAGAACAACTACAGCTTAGCTTAATGTAGTTGTTCTGTTGAGTATAATCAGAATACATGTTTGTGTTCCTAACCCTATAGTGTTCCTTTCAACACTCTGACGGGAGGGGGGAGAGGCTAAACTGCTATTCCAGCACTATAATATTCGCAATACAGGTTTGTATACTTTTACTTTAAACTCACCTTGAATCCAACTCTGGGTGAGGTTCTCCACTCCTCATCATGACTCTTGCCTTGTCACTCTGAGGTCCAATCACATGCTTTTCAGGCAAGCATTTGATTGGACCATCTTCCCTGTCTCAGCTGGCATATGCTAGTGATGGACAAAGGGAGGGTTTTCATGTATTAAACAAACCTGATGATATATTGTCATGGAGGAAGGAGAGTATGGATGTAAATTTTCTAAAAATTAGGTAGGGAATCACTAAAACAGAAATAATCATTTTCATGGGTTTAGCATTACATGATCACATATTTGAACACATCTTAATATGATAGCATGTACAAACCAGGTAAGGGAAAAAAACAAAAACCTAATAAAATCACAAGACCTCTAATGCTTTTGCATTAAGGCAGTAATTGCTGCAAAAGGGGCCCAAACCAAGTACTGAGTCCATATGCATGCTTATACTTTTCAGAGGTCTGATATTGTTCTATGTACACTCCTTGTTTTATTGATTGCATGTAATATTCTTATTTACTAAGATTGTGGATTTGGGGTTTTCATGAGCTGTCAGCTTCCCCTTGCAGACACGCTCTAAACACTGCCTGCAGGGATAGAATGCGGACAACAGATGTAATTTATGCACGGAATTGACACAAACAGATCTGCAAAAATCACTTGTGCAGGGGTGCAACTAGCCCATGGTGCAAAAGTGTAGATTATTCTGTATGTGCAGTGCTTCAAGCAGAAACACTGCCTATTTAGTTTATCACTTTTATGTATGCAATATATAAAAGTTAACTGTTCTCTTTTCTAAAAATTAGGTAGGGAATCACTAAAACAGAAATAATCATTTTCATGGGTTTAGCATTACATGATCACATATTTGAACACATCTTAATATGATAGCATGTACAAACTGTGTAAGGAAAAAAAAAACCTAATAAAATCACGAGACCTCTAATGCTTTGAATTCTACACATAGGTTCTTAATTTGTATCTACAGGTGATCCTCGGAAAATTAGAATATGGTGCAAAAGTTCATTTATTTCAGTAATGCAACGTAAAAGGGGAAACTAATATATGAGATAGACGCATTACATGAAAAGCAAGATAGTTCAAGCCGTGATTTGTCATAAGTGCGATGATGGCTTACAGCTCATGAAAACCCCAAATCCACAATCTCAGTAAATTAGAATATTGTGAAAAGGTTCATTATTCTAGGCTCATAGTGTCCCACTCTAATCAGCTAAGTAACCCATAACACCAGAAAAGGGGTTTCTGAGCCTTTACATGGTCTCCCAGTCTGGTTCAGTAGGAATCACATTCATGGGGAAGACTGCTGACCTGACAGTTGTGCAGGAAACCATCATTGACACCCTCCATAAGGAGGGAAAGCCTCAAAAGGTAATTGCGAAGGAAGTTGGATGTTTCCAAAGTGCTGTATCAAAGCCCATTAATAGAAAGTTATGTGGAAGGGAAAAGTGTGCAAGAAAAAAGTGCACAAACAGCAGGGATTACCGTAGCCTGGAGAGGATTGTCAGGAAAAGGCCATTCAAAAGTGTTGGGGACTTTCACAAGGAGTGGACTGGGCTGGAGTCAGTGCATCAAGAGCCACCACACACAGACTGATCCTGGACATGGGCTTCAGATGTCGTATTCCTCTTGTCAAGGCGCTCCTGAACAACAAACGTCAGAAGCGTCTTACCTGGGCTAAAGAAAAACAGACCTGGTCTGTTGCACAGTGGTCCAAAGTCCTCTTTTCTGAAGAGAGCAACTTTTGCATCTCATTTGGAAACCAAGGACCCAGAGTCTGGAGGAAGAATAGAGAGGCACACACACACTGCAAGATGCTTGAAGTCCAGTGTGAAGTTTCTACAGTCTGTGTTGATTTGGGGAGCCATGTCATCTGCTGGTGTTGGTCCACTGTGCTTCATTAAGTCCAGGGTCAACGCAGCCGTCTACCAGGAGATTTTGGAGCACTTCATGCTTCCTTCCGCAGACGAGCTTTATGGGGATGCTGACTTCATTTTAAAGCAGGACTTGGCACCTGCCCACACTGCCAAAAGCTCCAAAGCCTGGTTCAATGACCGTGGAATTACTGTGCTTGATTGGCCAGCAAACTCACCTGACCTGAACCCCATAGAGAATCTACGCCAAGAGAAAGATGAGAGACACGAGACCGAACAATGCAGAAGAGCTGAAGGCCGCTATTGAAGCATCCTGGTCTTCCATAACACCTCAGCAGTGCAACAGGCTGCATTGAGGCAGTAATTGCTGCAAAAGGGGCCCAAACCAAGTACTGAGTCCATATGCATGCTTATACTTTTCAGAGGTCCGATATTGTTTTATGTACACTCCTTGTTTTATTGATTGCATGTAATATTCGAATTTACTAAGATTGTGGATTTGGGGTTTTCATGAGCTGTAAGCCATAATCATCGCACTTATGACAAATCATGGCTTGAACCATCTTGCTTTGCATGTAATGCGTCTATCTCATATATTAGTGTAACGAAATTCCCCGTACTCCGACCGAGTACCTTCCGTTGATGGACGCTTCCTAGCTTGTGCCGAGGACCACTAGCACCGCACCGGACACCACCGCAGACTCCACAACCGCTGTAGCTTAACTGGAGTCCTGCCGTCTTCCTTCCACCCTGGATCAGCTTCTGTCCTCCAAGACCGTGTGGGAAAGACTTCTCCTCCAGGAGAGTGCATCAGGAACAAGCTCTTAGAAGAGCTAAGTGATTAAAGCTCTGGGGAGTATACAAGTATAGCTGTCCCCTCCAATCATGAGACAAAACTACGTGTTGAGGGTCAAGAAGATCTGACTCCAATGAGCATTTATTCCCGCTTATATACAACTTTCCCAGCAAGGTTACCACCAATGTGGACCTTGTGGGGCACTGGAACTGTAATTTTAACAACCAATAAAATAAAGGCACATGGATAAGCACACCCACTTTTTACAATGAGAATCCTCCCCTCTGCTTGGGAGAGAATGGAGTTAATTACTGTATCAACTCAATTATCGCCAAGCAAAAAAAAACCAAACAAAAAAACAAAACAAACAAACATACTTTTAATGCCATATTTGTAACTTTGTGAGTTTACATGCGATATCAATATAACCAGCATAATTTGGGGACAAACATATCCCAAATTCACTTGAATCGGTTAAGTGGTTCAGGAGATAGGTGGAAGTAATATTTTGACCGAGAAGGGACAAAGCAGCTAGTTCCAACTGGTTTGGCAGTGTCCCTGGGACAATGCCCTGCTGGAGAACAATGGGACAAAACGGGGGAGGGGAAGAGGCACATTTTCTCATGGAATTAAAGGTGTATAAATAGTGTGTTACAATCCAATGTGCCCAAATAATGTTTATAAAGGGCAAACTCTCCCAAGGGTCATAGTCGCAGGGCAGGAGGCTGGCAAGCAGGCCTCTCTAGGACCAAGTGGCGAAGGGCACTTTGTCACAATTAGTTTCCACTTTTACACTGCATTACTGAATTAAATTAACTTTTGCGCGATATTCTAATTTTTACAGTATCACCTGTATTTCGCCAGCATAATAACACTCCGAACTACACCAAATGTGTGTTTGTTTCGAGTTACATATTATTTAAAACTAATATAAGCATCATTACCAAATGCACTTCATGAATTAAATTACCGTAATTGCTCGATTTTAAGTTTAAAAAAAAAAAAACTTCTGAAAAAAAGACTGTCTTATAATTGCAGTGGTCTTATAATCAAGACATATAAAGTGTACATGGTACATATACTGTATATATCATGTCCACACTGTTATAGGAGGATACTTTCACTCTATATTAAGCGCTTTCCTGTCTTCAAGGCTGCATTGGTGCGGCAACGAGCTAGCAGCCATCACTGAGGAGTGTAGTGAGTGCTCCCAGCTAAATTCCAGGCGATGCGCAGTGCAGCCTGCCTTCCCTAGCCACTCTCCTCGTAGAGACATGCTGTTCTGGAAGGAGAATGACAAGCAGGCAAAGAAGGGCCATGTGGTAAGCGCCCTCACCTTGCTGGCTAATTCGTGCCCGAAGGGCGCACTGATCCGGGTGGTCCAAGAGGAAGAAGATTAATATCACCAGGGAGGAGCCAATCTACACTGTGCTCTAGTGATCAACAGATATTGACTTTTTAGAGCAGATACCGATAATCTGTGAACTTTTAGGCCAATTGCTGATAACTTACCGATAATCTGTACATTTATCGTTTTGAAAAAAGAATCAATTTCTACACAAATCTACTGTTTACTGAACATGCTTATTTAATTTTTTTTTTTAGCAAATCTTTTTTCTATTAAGTGGTAAATGTACTAAATATACATGCCAGTGATATTTTTTTGGTTTTCAAGAATATTTAGTGTTCCTTTCCCCTCCCTGTCCCTTAGTGTACTTATCCCTTCCCTTCCCTGTCCCTTAGTGTTCCTTTCCCCTCACCTTCCCATTCTGTCCCTTAGTGGTCCTCTCCCATCACCTCTCTCCCTCCCTGTCCTTTATAGTGTGTACCCCCCTTAGTGGTCCTGTCCCCTCTCTGGTAGTCACTCGATTCTTGTGCCCGCAGAGCCGGTGCACCCAAAGACAGCCGCCTATGCTGCCTTATGGACGCGCTGGTCCAGCGTGTGCTGGGCCACCGCCACCTCTCATATTATCGGCAATATCGGTATCAGTAGTGGCAGATATATATATTTGGCAAATAACGGTATGTGTGTGTGTGTGTGTGTGTGTGTGTGTGTATCTGCATGTGTGTGTCTGTATCTGCAGGTGTCTATGTGTGAGACTTTGTATCTGCATGTGTGTCATTCTGTGTTACTGTGGATCTGCATGTGTGTCTTTGTATCTGCATATGTGCCAGTGTGTGTGTCTGTGTATGTGTTAGTGTGCATTTGATTTTTCCATAGGGCAGTCTTATATTAAGACCTTTTCTTTTTTGTATTCAAAAAGATCCCAAATTTGGGGGTGGGGGTTGTCTTATAATCAAGCAAACATGTTACAGTTTTTTTTTTTGGTTTTTTTTTATGTTAAGCATTGTTCAATCTTCACTCTACTGTGCAGATAATAACATGTGAAGCTGAGAACATTACTGGACACCAAACAAGGATCATGCATGTTGAAATGTGCTTACATTGAGGAGTATTATTGAACTGCAAACAATGTCCTTTAGCAACCATGAAAATCTGTAGAACTGTCTCATGCCAGCATATATTCCTTAATCTTCTTGATTGACAGAATTAAAAAAACGACTAAAATGATATTCCAAAAAAGTCCCCCTAAAACAAAATTTGCACCCTTGGCCTAAGAGAGTTGCCTGTGGATAGTTTCCCAGTGTCCCCAGATGTGGGATCACACCCCGGAATCGGGACTGTTTCGATGAACTCGGGATAGTTGGGAGGCCTGATATACAATATATTTAGGGGTAATGCAAGTTATTTATTATTTGGATCTTATATCAACTTGGTGGCACCCCCTCTCTAGTTTTAAGCCTCAGGATTACATTTTTTTTTTATAATTGTATTTTATTGATATTTAAACAGAAAGCCAATACATTGTACAAGTTAGCAACAGAGATACGACCTAGCATTTACAGGATTGTACATAGGGGTGGTCGAGGCCTAGTACCAGTTGATTAACATTATATCTGGCCGTGAATCACATTAATACAGTAAGAAGTACAGCAGTTGCTATACAGATATGTATCGGCAATGAACAAGGTATAACAGTAACAAAGAAAGTTTACAAAAAGAAAAGAGAGAAAACATGATGCATTAGTCAGTCATGTGTCATAGGACGTTTGTCTTGGTCCTCTATTTGAGTTATCCATATCAAGAACATAGCGCGACAACAGACATCTTTCTGGGCAATAATATACCATACCTATGGACCTGGAGGTTTCTGGGGTTGGGGGACCTGTACTTTTACATTTCAGGGACTTTTTTGCATCTTTTTTATTCTCCTTAACTTGGAGGATAATTTCCCTGTGTAGGTGATGGCAACCTGATCCCTGCATTTGTTGCGCCATTTTTCCCAGATTTTGGTTACTTTAAGTTATTGTTGTGTCGATATGATAGACATGCGTATAATTTAGGGAAATGTTTTCTCTAAGCATGGTTTCAGTCGGGCAAACAGCAGGTTTCCAGTGTAAGGCTATGAGAGCCCTAGCTGATAATGCTATATATGATACCCACAGTGGCTGTATGCCCAAACATTCCCACCAAATGTGGAACATTGTTCCCCCTTAAGTGCCGCAGCACAAACAGGTAGCAGGGGAGTCTCTATATATGTGACTAAGTCTATCTGGCTTGCTTGAAATACCAGCGGTAGACCAGTTTGCGGTGTGCTTCTCTATGTGAGAAACATTTGGTCATGCCTTTTAAAGGCATTTAAACATTTTATCCACCTCTCTGGCGTAATCTTCTGTCCCATTTCCCTTTCCCATTGAGAAATGAAAGGAGGGGGATTTGGTCTTTGCATATCTACTTGCATTCTATAGCATCTAGAACAGACTTCCACAAACTCTGGCCCCCCAGATGTTGCTGAACTACAAATGCCATGATTCTCAGCCTATTTTATTAATAGAATCATGGGAGTTGTAGTTCAGCAACATATGGATGGCCAGAGTTTGGGGAAGCTGGATCTAGAATCTAGAATATTGTTTAGATTTCTGTGGATTGACCCAACGTGTATTCAGCAAATTATTTAATTCTATCTCATTTGGTGTGCATGTCTTGTAGCTCTGATCTACACAGTTTATTATAGCACTTTTAATTTGCAAGTATAAAAATGTGAATCTCGATGGAAGTTTGTATCTGTCTTGAAGGATTGGGAATGTGATCAGTGATCCCCCTTCGTAAAATTGGGAAATCTTTGAAAGACCGAACCTGTTCCACTCCTGTGTGTTCAGCCACTCGGAGGCGGTCGGCAGACATGTGCAATGCGGTTCGGTCCAAATGGAAAGTCTGACAAATTTCGGACATTAAGAACCGAACCGAATTGCTGAACTTCAGAATGCCGAACCGCAAAGTCCCGGTAGTCAAATTTGCGGTAATTTGCAGTAGTCAAATTTTGTCTAGGAATTGTGCAATGGAGTGTGCTGTTGGAACAATTGTGGTGAGGTCTTCTATTAAGTTATAAAGCGAACTGTTTGTTTTAGCCTGCGTAGTAAGAAGTTCGTTTTGGTTAGTTCTAGTTCTGAGAATTGGTTTTTGATTTCTTTGATTTTTTTGTTGATGTGTCAGTGAGGGGGGTGTTTGTTAGCTACTGATAACTCCGGAACAGTGCATTGTAAGTTTATTATGTTTAAAAAAAAAAAAAAATACTGTTATCATTAGGAGGTTTGTTAAATAAAATTTGAATTGTACTCTTAATAGTTGATAACATAAGAATTATGCTGACTGTTATTTACATCAATTATTTAGGTAAATGAGAAAAATATAATTTGAATAATAATTTGGAACAGGGTGTATAGTTGTAGGCCTGTGAACTCGCCTGTCAGTTTCTTCAGGTCTCGTGTTGCTTGCATGAGGCTTTTTTTTGATGGTATAGTTTTCCTTGACTATAGTGTCATGCGACACATCCGCTGGAAGATTTCTGGACTTCATTAGCCTATGTGCTCTGTCTAGTTGTAGTTCTTGGTCTGTGGCCTCAGGAAGCAGTGTTTTGAATAGCAGTGTTTTATAAAGCTCCTCAGCTGGGGCTGTTTGATGTCCTCTGGAATGCCACGCAGTTTGATGTTGTTCCAGCGGGCTCTGTCCTCTAAATCCGTGACCTTTGTGTCTAGAAATCAGTATAAGCATTGGTCAGTGTATTGTGGGCCTCAATGATTTCTTCTGCTTTGTCCTCCAGGTGGGCCATTCGCTCACCTATGGCTTGTAGGTCTTGTGTGATATCTGAGGCCAGCTTCTGGAAGTCAGACCTTATGGTAGTTTTAAGGTCTTCCAGCTGTGTGAGCACAACGAGGGGTCCGTCGCGGGTATTACAATTTTTGCAAAATGAAGGTGAGATTGCTCTGTCTGAGCCTGATGTTAGTGATCTTGCCTCGCCAGCGCCATCTTGCGAGCGCTCGCGAGCACTTGCTCGGCGGTGACAGGGCAGAGATCTGCAGTGTTGGTGCTCGGTGCTTCTTTTTGTGAAGCGTTTTACTTGCCATCCTGTAGGTAAGTACCTTCTGGGCATTGTGTGGCTGATTCAGTGCCGACTTTATTTGCATTCAAGCTGAAATTGCCAAGTGCCGAAGGAGCTCTCGCTCTATTCGTCCAGCGCCATGCGAGTCTTTGCCACGCCCCCAGCCTCAGGATTTTTTTACTTTGTAACCAAGAAGGTATCCCTTTTATTTGTGTTTTACTTGTACAATAAAGTTGTTTATTTTTTATTTTAAGCACCAACTAGTAAAGGACGCTTGACTGGACCTGGTTCTAACAATGTTGATCTTTTGACCAACATTCAAGTAGTTGAGCACTTGGGAAATTGTGATCATAATATAGTGTCCTTTGAAATAAACTAAAAAACAAAACAAAAGCATATGGGGTATACTAAAACATATAATTTTAAAAAGGCCAATTTTAAGGGCAGCTTTACAATATATTGACTGGCATAAACTCTTTAGTGAAAAGAACACTGAGGATAAATGGAACATCTTCCAACAAATATTAGAAAGGTACATTTCTCAGTATGTACCACTGGGTAATAAACATACATGAAACAAATTGAAAACAATGTGGCTTAGTGGGAAAGTGAATCTAGACATTAAAAATAAGAAAAGGTGATTCAAGCCTTTAAATCTGACAAATCAGAGGCATCCTATAAAAGATATAAGGAAGCCAATAATGCGTGCAAAAAGGTGATTAGTTTTGCTAAACTGCAAAATGAAAAAAAAATGATAACCAAAGAGAGCAAAACCAACCCCAAAGCATTTTTTAAGTACATTAATTCTAAAAAAAAAAAAATTTAAATAAAAATGAAAGTGTAGGTACACTAAATACTGGGAAGGGGTGTTAGTTAAAGCGGCACTGTCATGCCGAACTTACCTTTCCCCAATCACTTCCTCTTCTCTCCCTGTCTCAGGATCTGTTCCAAACAACACAAACAAACAACACAAACAAACACAAAACAAATTAGGGACTATCTTGTCTTATGTATTTTTCATACACTTGACCAACTATGACCCATGAGAGGCACTAAGTCTGCTCCATTTCCTGTGGTCAAAGCAGTTTCCCACAATACTCACCTCTCTTCAAGTTTCTTCATTTGCCGTTCGAACACCGGCGAAACTACCGAATTTTGTCCTAACAGAATGAGAACTGTTTGTCCATTCGTGTTTCAGATGCAATTCAGGAGATTTTGTTCGGATAGGAATTTCATTTGAATTAATAAAATTCCGATCATATTTGTGCTGTGAGTAGATAGCTCCCTAATACCGTGGGAATTAGGGAGCTATCTACTAAAAGGCTGAAAGACTTAAATTGGTCTTTCAGCCAATTTTATGAATACCAAGTAAAGATTACTTCGTATTAGTAATTAAGGGAGATTATAATCTCCCTTTTGACCCTACTCGCTATTCTGCGAGTAGGGGCATGTATACTAGACAGTGAGCAGCCAGTGGCCCCCTAAAATTCTAATAAATTGCCCCTTAGTGGGGCACCATTAAAAATAATCTCCCCTTAGATCCAATGGGGGGGGACCTACTGCCTCACCCCAGCACCCACCCATATATGGCGGGTGGGGGCCCTAGTGAAAATAGGAGGGGAAGACCTTTATTTCCCCCACCCATGAGCAGCGGGTGGGGGCCCTAGTGAAACTAGAGGGTGGGAGGGGAGGAAACCTATTGTCCCAAACCCCCAGGACAACCCATGAGCGGCGGGGGGAACCTACTGCCTTCCCCCTCCAGCCCCACCCAAATAAAGTTAATTCTTCCATAACCCCCTCACCCTAAAAATAGTGAGGGGAGAATAAAAAGCTAAATATCAGTAAATAAAAAATAAAAATAAAAAAAAAAGGTAACCATCAAATGTCCTCTTTTTTCAAAAAAGGCCAAATAAGAATCCAAAATTCCAGAACGCTAAAGAAAAAACATGAAAAAAAAAAATTCTGACACAAAAAATATAAAAATAATCCAACTTCACCCAGCGAGGGCACCGCGCAGACTGAGCTCCGCAGGGCAAGGAAAGGGCTGAAAAAAGAAGGTTTGAGGAAAAATAAGACATCTAATGGTAAGTATGATTATTTTTATTTTTTTTATTTACAGATATTTAGCTTTTTATTCCCCCTTCACTATTTTTAGGGCGAGGGGGGAAGGGAGTAATTTTATTTGTGGGGGGGGTTGACTAGTGGCTTAGGGACCCCTAGTCACCTTGTGGGTTGGGCATTACTTTTACATTTAGCCCCCACCCATGTGTGGGGGACACAATATATACCCCCCCATTGTCATTTTGGGCCCCTACCCACTGCTCATGGGTGGGGGAGGGGGGGCAATAGGTCCCCCCACTATTGTCACTAGGGCCCCCACCTGCTGTTAATGGACAGCAGTAGGTTCCCCCATTGTCATTTTGGGCCCCCATCCACTGCTCATAGGTGGGGGCCAGGGGGAAGCTGTAGATTCCCCCCCCCCCTATTTTATCTTAGGGCACCCACCCGCCGTTCATGGGTGGGGAGACAGTATTTTAGGGCACCCACCCGCTGCTCATGGATGGGGGCTGAGTGGATGGACAATAGGTCCTCTCCCCTATCTTTACTTGGGTCCCCACCTGCCGCTCATGGGTGGGGACCTGGGGGGGAACAAAAGGTCCCACTCTCCTATTTTCACTAGGGCCCCCATCCGCCGGTCATGGATGGAGGCCAGGAGGGGGGGGCAGTTGCATTTTGGGGTCTCCACCTGCCGCACATGGGTGGGGGCCAATAGGTCCCTACCCCTCCTATTTTCACTAGGGCCCCCAGCTGCTCACAGGTGGGGGGAGGCAGTAGGTCCATTTCCATTATCATTTTGGGCCCCCACCCATGGGTGGGGGCTGAGGGGAGGAGGCAGTAGGTACCCCCTATTGTAATTTAGGGCCCCTACCCAATGCTCATGAGTGGGGGCCAGGGGAGGAGAAGCAGTAGGTTCCCCCGTAGTCATTTTGAGCCCCCACCCACTGATTATGGGTGGGGGCCGGCAGTGTTTTTCCCCCCTTTGCATTTCAGGGCCCCCATCCACCGCTCATGGGTGGGGGCTGAGGGGGGACAATAGTCCCCTTCCTCCTATTTTCACTAGGGCACCCACCTGACACTCATGGGTAGGGGTCGGAGTGGGGTCAATGAGTGTGTCCCCCTTTTGTCATTTTGGGCCCACACCCACTGCTCACGGGTGGGGGCTGGAGGGGGAGGCAGTAGGTCCCCCTCTATTGTATTTAACCCCTTAATGACCAAACTTCTGGAATAAAAGGGAATCATGACATGTCACGTGTCCTTAATGGGTTAATGACCTCAACCTGCTGCTCAAGGGTGGGGGCCTGGGGGAGGCAGTAGGTTCCCCCCTCTCCCATTTTATCTAAGGGGGGATTATTTTTAAAAGGTGCCCCACTAAGGGTCACTTTATTAGAATTTTGTGGGGTCTTTTTTTTACAACAGTGAGCAGCCACTGGCAGAAGGGAGATTGTAAGAAAACTAGAGCAATCAGGAAGAAATGAAGAACAGATCCTGAAAGTGGGAGAGAAGAGGAAGGATTCGGGGAAAGGTAAGCTCGGCATGACAGTACCGCTTTAATAAAGACTAGGAAAAGGTCTTTTTTAAAAAACGATTTCTCCTCCGTGCAGAAAAATTGTAATTGGCTAACTCAAGACTAGGTGCTGCAGAGCTAATATAAACAAAACTCCAGGGCCTGACTGTGTTCATCCACGAGTACTTAAGGAACTAAGTGTACCTCTGTTTTTAATCTTTCAAGATTCTTTTTTCAGGAAGTGTTCCAGAGGATTTGAGGAATGCAGATGTGGTTCCTATATTCAAAAAGGGAGGCAAGAATTCATTGAGAAGAACGTGATTATCAGCAGGCTTTATGATGCACAGGTCATGTCAAACTAACTTGATTGCATTTTACGAAGTAAGTAGAAGTATAGATCATGGTGTTGCAGTAGATCTATTTGGATTTTGCCAAGGCATTTGATACAGTTCCATACAATAGAGTAGTGTACAATTTCAAAGAAATCGGTCTAGATGAAGATTCTTATTCTTGGGTAGAACATTGGCTTAAAAATAAAGTAGAAAGAGTTGTCATCAATGGTAAATTTTCAAGCTGGTCAGAGATGGCAAGTGGTGTCCCTCAGGGTTCTGTTCTGGGATCCCTTCTATTTAACATGTTTATAAATGATCTTAACCCCTTAAGACCTCAGGGTGTTCTATACCGTCCTTAAGGAAACGGCTCTTAACGCCGCAGGGCAGCATAGAACACCCAAACCGTCCGATGTACTTACCCGGTCGACGGCGATCGCGGTATGGGGACTCACCTGGGAGCCCAGGGAGTCCCCCTCCTTCTTCTTCGGCCTCTCTGGGCCATGTGATCACAAGGTCCTTGCGAGGACCTCGCGATCACATGGATAGCATAACCGTCCATGTCAAAGTCAGCAGGGGGAGTGTCTGTGATGACAGGTACTCCCCCTGCTGTCTGAATTTTTTTTTTTTTTTTTAAAACATGTTAAAAACAGTGTAAAAGTAAATAATATACTTAGATATTATATATATGATCTAAGTATATTTATACACATATACACACATACACATAAATACACATACACTGTCTAAGTGTATTTTAATATATATAGATATCAAAGTACACATACAATGATATTGACAAAATATATATAATTATCATTATATATTTATATATAAAACAAATATGTAAATACGTTAAAAAATAAAATGAAAAAATAAAAAAATATATATACACACACACACACACACACACACACATGTAATTTCGTTCTAACTGTATTTTTAAATTAATATACATTGATAGCAAAATACATGTAGAACGAAAAAATATATATATATATATATATATATATATATATATATATATATATATACACACACACACACACACATATATATATA